TAGGCATAGGCTAGTCATTGATTTGTGTTTGTAAAAGTCAGGCCCAGAGTAGGATGACCAGGTTGTTTCAGAATAAAAACAGGACATTCAAACAAATCTCGGCCTCCCCCGTAACTTACAACACACACCTGAGTGTCTAATTAAATTACACAGAGGGTCTCTTATTTGCTAATTTTGTTGAGGTAGAAATCAAGTACGTTTAGGCCCTTTTATCAACCTGTTTTTAAGCTTTTAGACCAGTAAACTTACCTAATCTTATTTTCCATTAAAACTTATTTACACATCACATGATTGTCATAGTTGTTTTAAAAATACATTAATGGCATGCAGCTAGGGGCTAGGCAAGGTAAATACTTTTGTGAATCACCACAGGCCAACTGAGAATAAAATAATCCAACAAAATTTTTAAGGGTTTTAGATCTTAGGGTACAGTTTCTTAACTGGGCTATGCTAATATCGATTGAAACTATCAATTCGATTAGCAAACTTTCATGCGATTTTTTCACCATCAGCAAGTTTGGTTGGTTAGGTTAGGTTATGATAGTTTAATTTTATAATAGATATATTTTTAAAAATTTAAAATATATTTAAAAAATATATATATTTAAAAAATATTGATTAAGTTATTAATTAATATTTCCAATTCGATAGTTTCAATTGATATAAGCATAGCCCAGTTAAGAAACTGTACCCAGATCTTATTACAAGATTTATTACGGGTACAGTTTCTTAACTGGGCTATGCTAATATCGATTGAAACTATCGAATTGGAAATATTGGTTAATAATCGATATTTTAAAATTTATCTTTTATAATGTAAAATTAAACTATCATAACCTAACCTAACCAACCAAACTTGCTGACGGTGAAAAAATCGCATGAAGGTTTACTAATCGAATCGATAGTTTCAATCGATATCAGCATAGCCCAGTTAAGAAACTGTACCGTACCCTTTATTACTAATAAAACATAGGTGGTAATAGCCTACCGGTATGTGAAACTAAGTTATTGATTTTAAGTATCATGAGCATCTTAAATTTAATTTTGTTATCGTTAATTTGTATGCTGGGAATAAAGTTAGGCCTACAGTTAACTTATAAATTACAGAAATTCATAATAAACTAAAAAAATGTTTTCTGTTTTGCTCTAAGAATTACTTGCTCACTTGCTTAAGAACATTAGGTTAAGTTATCCTTTTCGCAGAGGATACGCAACTGGGACCGTGGACGTGGATTATGCGTCCGGCAGTTATGCCTACAGTCATAACCTAACCTAACCAACCAAACTTGCTGATAATGAACAAATCAAATGAAGGTTAAATTCTGTTCATAAAATAAAAATAAATGCCAAAAATTCTAACCAAAGATGTACAGTTAAGAAGAAATGGGATTCTAAGCAAAATCTTTGAAAAAAAGTTAGTAACTTCTAGGGCCTATCACCGATGTGATTCGATCTAGATACCTCATGTACATCAGCCATGTACTTTATCTACACACCACGAACACCAATGGCTAAATATCGTATCGTTGTGGAAATGGTGTTCCGGTCCCCCACAACCCGGTGACGTCAATGCCGGGTGCCTAAGTAATCCACATTCGGTAACCAGACGCGTATCCTCTAATCTGCGTTTTTTTTTTTTTTTTTATAAAGCAATAGGCCTTATTTACTTATAAAAGTAGCCAAACAAATTGAAAAAAAACCAAAGTGAACTTAACCAATTTCAAATAATAATAGGCCTAAGTTAATACTATCTATAACCCTCTAAGATTTAGCCAATACATAGTGTAGGCTAATTGAGTTAAAACTTTGATATTCAAATTCATCGCCTCATATTACTATTGGTGTTTACAAACAAGTCAATCTATTGATTACCGGTACCTAAGTTATTTCACCTTCAATTAGTTACGGTAATCATATAGCAATAATGGTACATTCATTGAGTAGACCTAGGCCTATTTAATGTAAAACAAAAGTAAGAATGTAATGCATAATACGCTATGGTTGACGCGCCGAGACCCTGAGTCCTTATCTAACCCAACCCAACCACAATGCAATAATATCATTGTTTTAAATTATTCAAAAGTGTTATTATCATTAGTCGTAGAATCAAATCCAATCGACAAATTATAAATATGAACGACTAAGATTGATTAGTAAGAACAAAGTAGGCCTAACTTACTTATAGACTAAATTTTGTGTAGGCTACTTCAATGTGTATCGGCAATCAAACTGTCGATGTGTTCACATTTTGTGTTTTTCATACTAACCGATTAAACTGTCAGCACATGCAGGAGCCCGACACATTTACATTCCAAGATAATGTGTGTTTTTAATAACTTAGCTGATTTGTTGTCACGTCAATTTATTACACGTTCTTATTAGAATATTTTGAAATAATGCCTTAGGCCTATGCAAATATTTAAAAAAAATGAATAATGTTAAACTCTACTCTTTGACAAGCAGTCCTGATCATTCAAGACCCCAGCATGATTAATATTGACTACAATCATACCGATAATTAAGTTAATCTATTATATTTGTTTCAGGGCAAAAAGTGCTGCTGTCGCAACCATCAATGATTAGGATTGGAGTGGACGAAGAAACATTTATTTCCATTTTATTTGATTTTAAAAGTTTTTGTAATTTCTTTACATAGTTTGGTTTTAACTTGCATAGAATATAATAAATAGTTTTGTCTAAACTTTGAGTTTTTATCCACCAAAAATTGAAAAATAGATTTATTTTTTAATGTAAAATTTATAGTTGAAATAGATAACTGAACCAGACACTTTGTGTGTCACCAAAGATTGCGGCTTTTCACTGTTTTAGTCAAATAATCGTAATGTCCAATTGTACATAAATCGAATTACAGTTTTATATCAAATTGATCATCAATTGGACTAAATATACACATCAATGGTTATACACATTAAATAGTCTCAATTTGTACAAACATGAATGTGCATATGATGTTCACTAGATGTCCAATTGAATCTTAATTTAACCTAAATTGAATAACAATTTGATGTAAAATTGATCATCAATTGATCGAGATACGCACATCATATGTATATCGATGTTTGTGACGTTTGTACAATAATTGAATGTTAAATAGTCGTAATTTGTACAAACATGAATGTGCATACGATGTTCAGTTGAACATTCTTGAACATCAATTTAATGTTCAATTGATGTACATGTGTTATATGGGTAGGTACATATTAAAGTGATGCAAACAAATGTTATGTAAACGGTTAAGGCCATTTACCAAATAAAAATATAGACATATGGAATATCAAAATGAAGCTTAGAGTGTGTAGATTTTCTGAAAAGTTTTGATATGGACAAACTCCCTAAGAGGTCTGCCCCACAGACTGATTTCCAAAGGGCTACGCCTTGCATGTTTTGGAAGTTAACGTTATTTGAGTAATTTAGTGAACAACAGCTGGCCAATGCAATTTACAATATAGTTTGTTGGTTTATGTTCTTAAAAGAGGTGCGGTGAATAAACAGTGAAGCTATCTCTAGCCGTTTGACACAAGTGAGTGGTTAAAGGTGTTCGAAACACGATGAATATGAGATTAACAAACCATGTAGGTATGTCGTTCGTTCCAAGAGGTTGTAACCGATTTTTAACAGGTCGCCATTTCATTGACAAGTATTTAAGTAAAGTATTAAAGACGTGAAAGAGAGCGGCGAGTTCAGGTACAACCCTACCCACCTTAGGACGTAAGGTTTGAAGGCTCCAATGCTTTTTTACCATCCTTTCAGATGACAATTTCTCGAACTTGGGCCCTTTAAATGAAATATAAAGTCAAAGTTGATTAAATTAATTTAATGGTGGCTTCTGTACACCCGTGAATTTGCGGGTAGAACCTCTTATATTGTTAATAGCAGTTTTCTTAGACTTAATAATATATTTTATCTAACAAAGTAATGTACCGGTAATGTCAAATCTGACGTGAGAAGCGAAGAGAGGATGATATGTTGTGTAAGTGCTGTATCTTTTCCTGCAAATTCGTTGATCCTTTTTATTCCAAAAACTACAGTTTGAAACTATTTTATGCCCAATTTATTTTTAAAGTTAAGGTAAGTTTTTGGATCTATTGTGACTCATACAAATTAGTTGGGGTCTATTATTGTTTTCAATTTAGGATTGTTGTTATCTTGCACTAGGCCTATATCATTATTCTGGTGGAAAGGTTGGTGAGATTTACATCCCTGGGTAAATCTTGACACCATCTTTGACCAAATGAAATTATTTGTACAGGAATATTATAGTAGCCTCGATTAGGTACGTTAGGTGTAGCCTACCTATACATTATTCAAAATTCTTTATTGGGAGGATACAACTTAATAAAAAAAGCAAGACTTGTCCGCTTTAAATTATCAATAGTGCTGATTTATTAATGGCATTCTTAAAAATTAACTCCAAGACAGAAACTGGCCTAAGTTAATATAAATTGGCTTTGGAACCAATGAAAATGAGTGCCTTTGAACCAGTCTTTAAAAGCTAAACGAAAAAGGGACCTAAATAAACCATTTTTTGCCAAGTTATAACCAATCATTTCAAGCTAAAGATTTCTATTTCAACCGGTATATTTAACATAATTGATAAATGATTGATCTTATTTCATGGAAGCCCCTGAGTCTAAGTTTGGCAATGTTTTTGTAAATAGAGTATAAGCATGGTACTGTATAAGTTAATACCTTGGATAAAGAACACTCAAACTGATTAATTTTTATTTATGTTAATACAGTATGAGTATGTTACCATAGTACGTACGACTACGATGGGCAAATATCGATTGTAGTAGGATCTATCGATTATATCGATAGTTGGCGACTGACGACTCGAGTACTCGACCGAATCAACGATGACGTCATGGCCTGCTGTGCTCTCTAATACAGCGCTGTTCACGGAGGAAATTTGAACTAAATTTGCCTCATTTGTACCTCCCTTCAGTCAGACCCACATAATACATAGGCCTACCATAACATAACATAACCCCAAAACATTGAGTGTGTTCGTTCAAGTTTAGGGAGAAGGGACAGAGTTGGAGTTGGAGTTTGGCTTCGGCTCGGCGTTGAGTATACAAGTTTTACTCTCAAGAGTTGTGAAAAAGTTAGAAGTGTAAAATTACTTCAACACTATGTCTCTTACGTGTGCTAGTAAGTCCTTATTATTAAGAACAATATTTAATTCCTTATTTAAACCTTACTTAAAGATCTTTCCTTGAATTTTATACCGGCATTGAGATTTAAGTTAGAGAAGCCCTTCATTGGACCAAGCTAAGGCCTATTTCATAGCTTAGTTACCTTAGTTATTTTCAAATTTTGTTCTTTGTTTAGGATGAAAATTAGTAGCCTACGTTACTGAATAAAGGAACTAGGAATCTAGTATATCTTTGGGAAGTTTTGTTATTTTAATAGCCTAGCCTTACTTAGGTAGGCATAACACTTAAACGGGCAAAGTGGCAAATGAACATAGATTACGATGAATCTCCCTTTGTTATTTGTAAAGAAATTGTTAATCCGAATCACAAATTATTTGATGATAATTTAGATAGTAGTAACTCGTTTTGTAAGTTTAGAGTCTTACACCAAAATATCAGGAGCTATAATAAAAACATAGATGACCTACTATTAACTCTTCAGGGTATAAAAATCAAATTTCATTGTATTATTCTGACTGAAGCTTGGTTAAATGATGATAGTAATTTGTTGGCTATTGATGGCTATAACATATTTAGAAGCTACAACAACTTGGATCAGAACGATGGAATAGTAATATACATAGATAAGTTAACTCATTATCAACTTCCTGTAACCAGCTATTTATTGGCGGTGTCGCTACGAGTCTTTCCTTGACTTTTACGTGGGCAGGCGTGAATTGTAACTTAACTGCCATTTATCGCAGCCCTGCTTCGTCTTTGCAAATTTTTATTGATAGCTTACATGATTATATAACAAATTCAACAAATTGTTCTAGCATGAAAATAATTGCAGGTGACATCAACTGTGACATTTTGAGCCCTCAATTAAATTCTTTGGAAGACCGTTACTTAGACATACTGAGTGACCTAGGATTCATCCAGTGTATAGACAAAGTAACACTTAAAGGCCAATAAGTAACACGTGTATAGATCATTACTTTGTCAAACTTCCGCTCAACTTTACAGCCAACTCATCCATCCTACAGACCTCAGTCACAGACCACTACAGTATTTGTCTCGAAATTAAAAGTAGCCTACTGCCAAAACCAATCCGAGAGTAAACAATCACTCTCTAAAAACAATCAACTGGGAGCATGTTAAGCAAGATCTCCTCGTTCAAAACTGGGATCTAATCTATACATCAATAGATGTCCATTCCGCCGCAAAAATCTTTAATGATATACTTATTTCCACTGTTAAACGTAATTCATCTACCGTTACCACTACCGCTTAAACGTTCAAGATAAAACCGTGGATAACTAGGCCTAACGGTCTCTTAAAATCAATACGTCATCGGGACAAAATAAGTAGACTAACCAATAAACACCCCTTTAATACTAGACTGCGTGCACGCTATGTTAGATACAGAAACATATTAAAATCCACACCTAAAAAGGCAAAATACGATTTTTACAAAAATAAGATCAATGACGCTCAAGGAGATCCAAAGAAATTTTGGAATATAGTGAACGAAGTAGCGGGTCGCACAGATCCCAAATGCAAATTTCCAGTCGGTGCATTTGGAGCACACAGCGACACTGTCCCCTCCATCTGTGATAAATTTAACAAATACTTTGCTTCCGTCGGATCCCAGCTAGCCGGGGCTTTGCAGCCTGTTGGTCCTGTCGAAATAGAGGATGCTGATTTTGCTGTGAACTCCCAGTTCTCACTGGAACCAATTACCCATCAAGATTTACTAGGCGTGGTTACCAAAATCAGAGGAAACTCGGCACCTGGGTATGATGGCATTTCCTCTAAACCCTCTAAACTGATAAAGCATAATCTAGACGTATTACACCAACCCTTATTTCACATTGTAAATTTAAGTATATCAACTAATACTTTTCCAAATCCTTATAAAATTGCCAAAGTAATCCCGATCTATAAATCAGGCCCAAAGAATGTGATAGCAAATTTCAGACCTATTTCTTAACTTGGTATCCAAGATAATTGAAAAATGTGTCAAGCAACAGTTGTATAGATATCTCGAGGAAAATAATATCATTAACAACGTACAGTTTGGGTTCAGAGCTAACGCAAGCACTACCCGTGCCTTATTTAATATCTCAAAACATATTTATGAAAAAATTGATGATAAAAAACGTGTGCTTGTAACCTTTTTAGACTTGGCCAAAGCATTCGATTCTATTGATAGGCATAAATTAATCACAAAACTGCAGTTGATAGGCGTTGACAACCCATCACTTGACTGGTTCCGCAGCTATTTGACTGGCCGATCACAGTTGGTTACTATTAATGGCGAAAATAGTGATATCACTAACATTGACTATGGTGTCGTCCAAGGAAGTAACCTAGGTCCTCTTCTCTTTTTAATATATATCAATAACATTACTAAATTAAGAGTCGATGGTAAATTGTTTCTTTTTGCTGATGACACAGCGGTAGTGTCCTCGGGTAATACGTGGGACGATGTTTACCATCAAGCTGCATCTGACTTACTTAAAATAAAAAATTGGCTGGATCATAACACATTGACATTAAATGTATCAAAAACCAAGTGCATGCCAGTTTTCTTATCTCGAACCCGTGATCCTAGCCTTAGAAAACTCTATCTTCATTCATGTGGTGATCTGTGGTCTAATACCTGCGGATGTGACACAGTCGATCGTGTGGACCAATACAAGTACCTTGGGGTGATCATTGATCAAAGGATGACATGGTCTCCTCATATTATCTATGTAAAGCAAAGATTGAGGAAACTGGTCTACGCCTTTTATCAACTAAGCCGTGTGTTAACGATTGACCACTGCAGATACGTTTACTATGCATACGTGCAGTCTGTGCTGCTGTATGGCATACTGGCGTGGGGTGGTGTATCAGCTGCCACATTGGCTCCTCTTCACGTAACCCAGAAAACCTTAATCAAAATTATTCTTAAGGCCCCCCATACACGTAACGATCGGCCGGGCGGCGAGGGCCGGAAGGCCAAACTGAACAGTTGGCCTGTGAAAGGAGGGTCCCCATACACGCAACGATACGCCTGCCGGCCGGACTGAAATTTCTCCGCCTAGTGGCAAGTGTGCAGTCAGTTTTCGTACGGCAAAAACGTTTTTGTTAACTTGCTATAAGCTGGATCTTTTAAGTTCCTGTTGTGGTATGCCTTTGTTTTGACCCTCCGCTGACATTCATGCTTTCTGTATTCTTCTATAAAGGCTAGCACATGCTGATTAGTCCACGTAGCCATATTAGTACAAAGACTGAACAGAAAATAAAGTTAGGTTATGTCAATGACCGTGCCTGACACCTTAAAAATGAACGTAAATAAAAAAATAATGCTACTACTGTACTGTCGGCCTTCCGGCGACCCCATACACGTAACGATCGGCCGGCCGGCGTGGACTGTTCAGGCCGGGCCGGCCGGCCGATCGTTACGTGTATGGTGGGAAAGACCGAAACATTACTCAACGAATTTACTTTTTTCTGAATTCCCAGTTTTCAATATTAGACAATTGTTTATCAAAACACTATTACTTTTCATTAAGAACAACAAGGAAATTATTTTTTCTAACTTACAACACAGTTATCACACTAGACTCAGGCATAACTTTGGATACCGCACTCCACAACTAGCATATAGTTAGTTGAAAAATAACGTGTTTTACATAGCTCACATCCTTTATCGCAACTTGCCGCCCAACATAACTGATGCTGAATCAGGCAGTGTCGCTGTGTATAAAAGCAAGGTCTGTGAGTGGCTGATGACTGTGGGACGAGAGGCTGCAGAGGCTTTAATTCGCTCGCCTTACATTTAAATTAATCTCTGACATCAAACACCGCCATAATAGCTATCAAAATACATTTGTCTTCATAGATTAATATTTTTATTGTTGCTTAAGGCTGTTTATTGTTAACTAATTCTATTATACAACATATTTATATAGCATATATATATTTATTAAGAGCTCCTGATACGTATTTAAGTATAGATGTACACATTATTTATAAACAGTGTGCACATGTTTTTGACCAATGGACAATAATTAAAACATATTTCCTGCTGGTAAGAGCTCTTCTGCAACCTCAGGGTTTAGGGTTAGTGCTTGGAACTCTCTTTAATTTCCAATGTCCTTGCTAATCTTTTAATTTGAAACTTTTTTTTATGATAATAAAGTTAGCCTTTGATTTTTTTTTTTTAATTTTATATCAAATTTGGATAAGATTGTTCTAAAACAAAAGTCTTTACTTGAATCAAGATTTTAGGCTATATAAATTTTAACAGCTATGAGGCTACTCGATCCACCTCAGAAGTAGGCTAATGTTCTCAAATTGTCCAACACCTAAATAGGATAGTCTGTAGCCTAATAATAAGATGGAGATTACCAAGTTTCTTCCAAGTTTCCACATTTCTTCTCGTTTAAACTATTTGAAATAATTAGACTATTTTGGTTTAGCTTTTCACTTTTTACTAGAAAATATTATAATATAAAAATCATACAAACTAGTTTTTAAACTCTCACCCAGGCTAGTTCATGGTAGAAGAAGGAAGAAGTCCAGTTGTTACTTAACACATGTTTTTCAGCAACAATGTATTCAGGTCTTCTAGATCTTGAAGTTTACTGTTCACTTTTAGTCACTCAGGCCAATTAATATTGTATGAAATTTCATTTGTGTAGAATACTTTTTGAGATTTTTTTTAATTATCTATATATTTAATTTATTTTAGCTTGTGTTTGAAATAGATTGTAAACATAGTATATTTTAAATAGGCTTTTAGGCTTAAAAATTGACTGGTAATAGGCTATTTATATATTATTTAATTATACAAAATTTTATGAACTGTTGCAATATCCCCGCAGAAACTGAATATTACATGTAATATGAGGTTTCGATACACAGTGAAATAAATTTTGGTTTGAAATGTGAACATTTAATAAAAGAAGACTTAACTATTAATGAAGAACGATGGGTGGAACATGGTTATTGAAATACAAATAC